GATTTCTGATACGTCAACAACTCGTGCGTAAATACCGTACGCCAGCACTTTCCATGAAGTATTCTCTATGTTACATGTATCTTACTTGAGGACTCTCAAGTATTATACTTGAGGCTCTCCTGCTTCATTAAACCCTGAAATTCGGTTTCAGCCAATGGTTTTGGTTTCGCTGCTGCCTGGCATCATAGTAAATTTAAAAAAAAAGCACACACAAAGATGTTTTGTTCAATGGGTTCAAAAGGATACCTTTAATTTGAGTGCGGTAATTGGTGGTTTCTTTTTTTTCGTTATATATTTTGTCTTTTTATATATGTTTTATATGTTTTTTCACATTATAATGATTCCTAGCGGTAAAATACCTTCTCAGTACTTGGCTGGGTTTCGACTTTAAGTTTATATGATGTTTGCATCAAACAATTTTGATTGTCCAATTTTCAATTTTTTGAAGAGACCTATGCCAAGCTCACAATGTGCGCTAATTACTCACCGGATGACCATGATGTCAAACTTGATGGGCTGAATGACAAACCGTTTCTAAAAAACCATTAAGGTAAACACTTAACATGTTGAAGCTTATCTTTGAACAAGTCTTTGAACTGCACTGCTATATGTATGTTTATTTTATTAATTGCAGGTCAACAGGAAATTCTATTGGCCCCTAAGTGGTCTTAAAAAAGGGGCCATTTGCCCGCAGCAAAGGGAAAAAACCAAGCAATTCAAGAATTACTAAAGATCCCTTGCCTCCACTTCCAACACCACCTCAACAATCAATATCGTCGAATCCACCTACTACACCAACAACTCCTCCTCAAGAATTGATGTCTTCTGATCAACCTACTACACTGACACCACCAAATGCAAGTGAATCACCAACTCTTTCGATATCGATACCACCTACCTTAAATCCGTCTGCTCCAAATGTACACACACAAGCTAAATCAAGAAGAAAACACAAGGGTTATGCGTATGTTTTAGAAGCCACAGATCAAGAAACAGAGAAAAACAATACACTTGCACTAGAAGCTGATGATGGGTCTCGACCTAAGAGGAACAGAAAGGAAAAGCATGTTATGGACATATAACATACTGAAACTGTTAAGCTAAGTCGATCTGTATGTGTGACAAAACTGCGAAAAGTCCATATCGACCAAATAACTCAAATTTACAACATGCTTATATATCCATAACATGCTTTTCCTTCCTCTTCCTCTTGACCTATAATCTCCAGGGAGATCAGAGTTGCAATTTAAAAAAGGAAAAGTCTTCATTAGTATTACCTATTATCAACTTTTTCATTTGAAACTCGCGCATTACTTGCAATTGTGCATTTCTTGTTTCTTACCCTTCATATCTTTTTCCAATAATCTTTCAACCATTTTATTAAAACATCTCGGACAGTGATGTTATTTGTTGTTTTCATGATAATGTATATTAAACAAACTTAAAAGTGGTTTTAGCTGTATTCAGGGCTCGAGTTATGGAAAAAGAGCAGCACACTGCAAAATTCTTGAATGGCAAGCAATGAATAAGAAAATGAATACCAATTCAATAGAACATGTACGAAAACAACTCTTTGGTTTGTGCCTCCGCTTGCAGTTGTTTTTTCATCGACATGAACTCGTGGCAATGAGACACAAACATGTGTTTTTGAGTCTTTGCCCTGAGGACAGTATCCGCGTTTTGATAGTCGACTTCTTGATATTTGGTCCTTTGAGCCGGGATATTTTGGGTGACTTTTGAGAGCAAAAGTGTGAAAAACAAAGGAGTATAGAGTTATTCAACCACCGAGTGAAATTCGTGTCCAACAGTGACAGGCAGCATAGAGTTTTTCAATCACCAAGTGAAATCGTGTCAAACAGTGAAAAGCAAACAACAGCAATGTTGAGACAGGAACGTCGAG